TTTTAAAAAATATGTCCAAGAAATAAATAAATTCGTTACATTCCAATCCATAAGTGTAAATTTTCGTAGTTGACAAACGAATAAATCTAAGTTTCGGAAAATGTCTTAATATAGAAAAAAAACCTTTTAATATCGCAATCTCGTCAATTAAATTTATTTTGATTCTATGTCAATTATTATAAAAGTTGAATAAGTGATAAACTAATATGTGATGGTAACCTTCCTGCGGTATCTTATCGTTCAACTACAGAGACATAGTGATAATATCATTGCAATAACAAATAAAATTGTAAGATTTACAAAGAAAAAAATATATTGTTAAACACCACGATTTACTTTAATCATTTTCACATCTTATTGTTAATTGTTTAAAATATGTCACGGTCAATTCAGATTAATAATAATAATTATAAATTTGTTTTGCTACATTTAATCATAAATCTACAATGAAAACATATGAATTTTTCGTATGGTTGGCAAACGAATAAATATTATAAATCTAAATATTTTTGGAAAAGACATCTTAATATAAAAATATATTTGTATAACTTCTTAAAATCATCTCATCAATTAGACATATCTTTAAAATTCAATGATGACCATAATAAATGTTGATATATATAAATCATTAAATATGTAATAATATTCAAATATGTAATAGTAAATATATGTGAATTTGATTTTTAACGTATACAAATAGAGTTTTACTGTTAAAGCAATAACAAATGTTGTAAATATGTATGTACACAAGAATATAAATGTATGATAATGCTACAACATACATGATCTAGAATATAAATTAAATTTTGATAAATTGTGCATCTTGCGGAAATTTTTTGTTGTTTTACTAGAAATTGAAAATCATACGTGTCAGGGCAAATGCTTGTAACAAATGTGATGCGCATATTATAAAAATTATGCAGCAAATATTAAAATATTATAGCTTTATTTTTTTCTATATAACGCATATTATAGCTTTATTATTATACATAAAATATGTTTTTTTACACATACATTTATTAAACATAAAAAAAGATATCTTTTATACGTCTACATACGAATATTTTAGTAAAATCTATTTCTGAAAAATTAATAAATTTGTGATAAATATGACAATACGTGACAATCGTGATATGTATGTGCAGTAAAAGCTATCAAATCTTTGTATCGTGAATATAATTTAAAATCTTTACACTTAATGAAACCGTATTATATCATTTTTTTAGTAAACGTAAAATATATTTCATTCTTCATATCTCCGGGAAACTTGATAAACTTTTTATTTCCATGTTTATGTTCAGTATTTTAAAATTTTAAAGATAAGAACGTATATGTTTATTAAATCAAAGAATTAATATTTTTTATATAATTGATAAAACTGTAAATTTGATAAATCAAAATTCAAAATTCATATTAATATTTAAAGTATTTTCTACAAAAGGTCATTTAAAATATTTATTTGATTGTACTTATTTGTATTCATTCTTTTCCATATCACATTTATTGTCTTTTTTGTAAGCTCTGTAAATTTGATGTTAATACAATTGATAATTACGTACTATCATGTTATATAAAAATTTCTACTTTCCCGTAATTTAATGATTAATCTGCCATGGAAATTATAATGTTAAATTTTTGCCATAGAAAATTTTACGTGTCTATTATACAGTATATTTTCAAATATGTTACCATTGATATGTATTACATAGCTTGCTGATATTTCAGTCTTCACTCTAAAAATTCTGTACTCGATTAAAGCTATTTGGTAAGGAAAGTTCTTTAAGGCATCGCACACGTTAAATATCACACTATTAATGTTAAATTATTACGCACACGTCTAGCAAATTTTTTTCAAAATGAAGACGTTCATTTAAGGATATCTTGACATTAATCAGAAATCCATATACAATAATGATCAGTGGTTGTCGCTCAATAATATGAAATAACTTCAGATAAGAAAAGATAAAATTGAAATAAACCAAAATATTCAATTTTTTTGAAAAAATTGATTGCTTTCTAAACATTTTAAGAAATGTAAAATGAATGTCTAATTATAGGAATTGTAATACAACTAGCACTTAGTGAGAAATAACACATCAGAATACTTATCTTTATACATATATTTAATTTGTGAAACATTGTAGGATTCAAAAATTAAAACTCAAAAATTATACATTTGCAATTGTTTATTTTCTTTTTACGTTTTTATATTTGTAACATTCACTTGTAATCCATTGTCCTTACATATTACTGTGACCAGATTGTTGTCAGATTTACTTTAGTCTCTACAAGCCAAAAATTTATATTAATAGAATTAATCATTGTTGCATTATTATTTTTATAAAAATATTTTTATTTCTTGTCATTTAATGATTATTTTGTTGTAGAAAAATTAATATAACATTAAAACGATTTACAAGAACAAATCTTATATGTATGTACATACGTCTACATATATTAAAAAATATATGTATACTATTTCTAGTAGTTTAACAGACTCAAAAATTATATACTTACCTTTTTTATTAAATATATAATATTACAATTAAAAATTGTCAAATTTTTCTGGAGACCTATTTTGTGTGACGTATCATTGACTCGATTATTGGAAAAAATAACTGCAAATTGTTTTTTTATTTTATTTGAGTTGACATTTTGTATTTGTTGTTAAAGAATTGAAAATTATTATTCTATTATAAACAATTTTTACTTTCCCGTTATTAAATTAATAATTGCATCAGGATACTTGCCTTTCTGTATTTAATTCAAGTGTTGTAGGATTGAAAAATCAAAACTTAGAAATTATGCAATTGTAGTTTATTTTTTTTGTATTTTTACATTTGCAACATTCATTTGTATTACATTTTTCTCGACATATTAACTGTGATCACATTGTTGTCAGATTCTCATGTATCTGCAAACCAAAAGTTCATATTTATTAATCAATAATCACTCTAGTATTATTACAAAAATTTTTACTTCTTGTTATTTAATGATTATATTGTCATAGAAGTTAATAAAATACATTTTGAAAGAATAAATCTTACATCTCGATATGCATATATTAAACAAATACACATCACTTTTAGTAGTTTAACAGATTAAAAAATTATGTATTTAAACTTTTTCATTAAATATTTATAGTTATTGTAATTTGAATAAAATTATTAAGGTTACGTAAATCTATTTGATATGTAATTAAATTAATTATAAAAATAACTATTATTTGCGTTATACCACAAGAAAAATCGTGGTTGAAAGAAGAACATCGTAACAAAAAAATGTTTGCTTGGATATATGATAAAAGCAAATTGTACTTGTGTTTAACCATATCTGGAACCGAACTGGAATTCTTTGCGGCACTGTCCTTCAACTAATTTGTAACCATGAGGACAGGGATCTCGTGTAATAGAAGCTTCAGAAACCACCATCGTGACAAAAGTTGATATTAATACAAAAGTGACCATAAAATATATAATAAACGTGCTGTTAAGGCTGTTCTTCATGTTTTCAAAAAATACTAAAAGCTACAACAGAGATCAGATCTAGAACGTTTCAAGAACGTAATATAGATGTAGAACAATCACAGTTGTGAATCAATTTTGAAGTTGTAGCATTACGCGGAAAAAATTTTTTTTTATACCGTTAAAGTCATAAATGACTTTAATCAACAATATGTATACATATATGACAAATGCATCACGTTTACAATAAAAATTATACCGCTATTAAAGATTATAATTTTATTTTAAATGTACGATATATATAGTTTTTATGTTGCAAGTATTAAAATATTATAGTTTTGTTTGTTTGGAATGAATATTATTAATATAAAATATTTAGTTTGTGTGTGTATGTATGTGCATTTTTTATTTAAATCTATTTTTATAAAATCAATAAATTCTTTTAATAAAAATCAATGAAATCAATAAGTGTTACATTTATTATATTAATTTTTATTTTTTACTGTTTTATCATTATTGTTTTAAAAGGGCGGTTCAACTTTCCGTCCGAAGTTTCCTTAATGGCAACGAAACCATATATGTTGCATAATTCCAATTTTAAATTTCTTTTTCCAAATATTTTTCCTCTTCACACATTAACTTCTTTTATCGATTTAAGCAACGATGCTTTATGCCTGCAGAATGAAAGTCATTGGCTAGTATTGGTGCCACCCTCGGACATCAGCGTTCTGGGTGAATCCCCTACCAAGGCTTCTTTCAAAAGATTAAACAGGTAATAATCATACGGTGACAGAAACTATAGACCGATAAACCAGAATTTCCCAACCAAGTCTGTTAATCGCCGTGCTCAGGATCGTGTATGATATCATGTTATAATTCACGCCGTGCGTTAAAGTATTAGGATAAAAAAAAAAGAATCAAGTCGATATTTTAATTCGTTTTTTCGTAATTACTTCCGTCAGCTCGAAAAACGTGCCACATTCAATCGCCACTTGGAGGCATTAAAATACCTTTTATATAAATAAAAAATATTTTTTTGCTGTTCAAATAATATATAAATTTATGCAAAAACCTGCGTTTTACTGTATAATAGATTTCTTTAAAAAATTTCATAAAACAAGAGCTAATTTTACGGCTGGCAAAAGTGAAATCCCCCTTAAATTAACTTCTTTTATATGTAAAAGAAGTTAATTAATATATAATTAATATATAATTTAATGTTAAAAATAAGAATGCAATAATATTCAGATTAATAATAGCTGCGCATATATTTATAATATTCCCAACGGCCTTATGCGCCATTGTTTACACGCATTTATATATATTTATTTATGACTTAATGGCAAGTTGCTTAGATCCGACGATTCTATTTTCTAATGGTAACCATACAGATAGTGTGAAAAAAAGCAAATTTTAGTTGGTAAATTCGGCGGCAACAATTCCGCTGCCGCGAAGTTACCCGCGCCAAACTCGAGGACAACTTTCACCCTCGTCTCCGCTACTTGTCTAACGAGTGTTTGGCGCAAACTTTGACCGGGTCGTTATACATCACGAAATCCCCTCGGTAAAACGCATATACGTAGGGTCCACCGTCGAGCGTGCGTACGTAATTCGCGGACAATCGACCGCACACGCGCGGCCGGACAATCGTAAATTGCTGAGGCCGCTTACTCCGCTACTTAGATAATGAGCAAAACTTCAGCTATCTACGGAGGAAGGGACGCCGGGGAAAGACTCGGGGATTGCGGGGGTCGTGTACTTACGCAAATTGAGGGTGAAAATGGAAAAGAAAGCACTCGGGATCCGTGAAGCACGGGAAATCGTCGCATGACGGCGTAGAAAAAAAAAAAGAAAGGAAATTGGGAGAGGCAGCTTCGACGAGTAAATGCCCGCTGCTGATCGAATCGTCGTGCAATAATGGAACGAATTCGATAAAGACACCGTCGTATTTTTATTTTGACGCCGCAACGTAAACGGGGGCGGCACGGAGTCGCTCGAATTGGCCGCAAGTTCGATGCGTATTATCGTCGCTAATTTCATTGCAGAAAATGTTTTCTGAGCGTACGAAGGTATATTTCTACAAGAATCGTAGACGCACAAGTTTCAACTTACGTATCCACAGCTCGTGGCGTTCTCTCGTAGCTTTCGCGGCAACAAGCTTTTATCCAGGGGGTCAAACGTCTGCGAGTAAGTGTAATCCGTAATCATGCCGTTGGAAATAATTGTATTACGCTTGAAAGAGTGTGCGAGCGTTTCACTGCTTTTAATGGGCGAGTCCGTTCCCCCGTGCTACGTTTGGGACGTTTCTGTGTGTACGCGGTTTATATATATTACGTAACGTTTACACCCTACCCGCTACACTGGCGTAATATTCCGCAGAATATACGATTCTCGCGCGCTAAATTGATTAGAAACACACATTTTTAATCGGCATCCAAAAATGATGTTGATGCAAATAATGATCTGATCCAAGTAAGCGCACAAATTCGTCTGATGACCCCGGAGACGTGGATTCTGGATTATTTCTATAAAAGGGGAAATAATCAAGTGCCGCGCCCGCGCGTGGCGCACGGCCGTAGCTCGCGACGCGCAAAGGAATGCAATTTTCCTCGGGTTACTGCAATTTTCCGTGGGTTTCCCCCCGTCTCAGCCGTGTGCCGCACTCGTTTCTTCGCTCGATCCCAGCGCGTGCTACCCGCCAAGCATTTCTCTAATTGCAGCCTTATATTTTCGCGCCACATATTATTAGTCCGGAATTCTTTGTGTTCTCGAAAGCGCCGATTTCCTGGTCCCTCTTTCTCTCTCTCTCTCGCCTATATCTTCCGGTCCGGATTACCATTCTAATCCTGTGTGTAACTGATAAAAGGACGCGCCTGCGTCAGTTTACCTTACGCTATCGCAAAGGTACCAGCGCTAGAACGTTGTTTACTCATTTCGAAGCGCGCGCGAGAGTTGCGGATATATTTTGCAGCACGTTAATTAAACGAGTGACAGACGCAGTGATAGACGGTTAAAAAGTTTTGGACATACGGAAACCTATAGGAGATCTCATTACGGTCTGCAATACGACATGGCACTCCATTAAAACTCGCACGAAATAACATGAAGTGTAGCGTCAATCGCCACGACAATCTTTGTCTCAACGAGCAGACTATGCTTTTTAATTTGCGACGAAGATCGTTTGCGTCATTTGTATGAAAACCACGAGTAGAAATATTTAAAACGGATCTAAATGAATTAATGAGATATTTAAATTCAAGATTATATAAAAATTGTCAATACGTACAAAGTAAGTGGTTAAATTTTACAGTTGCTTAAAGAGGAATCTACAATACCTTTCTGAATTAAAGTTGTACTCGTTTTATTTTTATGTTAAATAAAATGTATGAAATAAACATCAATTTTGTAATATTTAACTTAAATATATTGGGAGAATAATTGCGTGCGTCTAAAATCGGCAGATTTGTTGGATTTGTAAATAATACTGGGAAACGAATTCAAAATCAACGCGCTGTCGCTTAACGAGTCGCATGAAATTTTCTTATTTCAATTTCTGACTTCGATGTCAACTTCGAAGTATTATGGTACGAAACTTTAATATTTTTTATTTGGGACCTGAGGAAGTACTTTCGGAGGTGGGACCCGTTAATGAGAGCTCTCCGGCCAGTGGCATGTTTCCGTGTAGAGTATTTGATTTATCAGTCGGTCGTACCTCCGTCGTGGGAAGGAACGAAATGGATTTCCTCAACCCTCGTCCATCACTCCAAAGAACGGAAAAGAGTAGACCGTTCACCAGGGCGTCGCTCCTCCGTCAAGAATATAGACTGAAGCCGGAGCACCGTATTCGAGTCACGTGCCGGGGAAGGACTCATTTTAACTACGGTAATTGAAAGGAAGTCTCTGTCTCCGTGGTCTTCGCCATTTCCCTCGTTCCTTGCGGTCGCATTCGTGTGTATCTCTCTTACAGCAATCACGATGCGATCGAGAATTTGTTGCATTTGCTGCGTCGATGATGATAGCATTAATCCCTTTGTTATACGCATTATACGAATGAAATTGTATGTAACTTGTACACAAATAAATGTTGAAAACAAAATGTAAATAATACATAATTTTCTATATCGTACATTGTCAATTAACATTAAAGGCAATATAAAATTGTGTCTAATTTTTAGATTTAAGAATTACTTTTTATCTACTTATTTATTTATAAGTTGTTATGAGAGTTTTGAAAAGGAGTGAAATATTAAATCTATTCTAATCAGGATGATAATTAAAAGGAGATTGTTGTGTTTCAATTTAACAAGTAATTATCGTTTCTTAATGTCATACCACTATACAGTTAGGACGTAGACGTATCGGATTATTCTGGTCACGTGGATCAAGGAGAACTTCTTTCTACGTAAAGGCAGTAATTGAAAGGAAAGACCATTGGCTTTCCGCATCTCTCCTCTGCCGACGCAAAGCGCAACGAACTTGGCCCGATCACTTTCTTACTTATTCAGAAGAAGCGGTTTCATTGATTCTGATTGCCCCGCAATCAATCACAATGTCCGACAACTATTTGCGCGTGTATCGTTGATTGAAAAAATAAAAGGCCCGAACGCCAGGTGAACGTTGGAAAATACTAAACGATTTTCAATTTTAGTGGTTTGTAAAGTGAGCGAGAAGTAAAAAATATCACTTTTTGCAATATGAAAGGCAGTTCGCACAAAAATGTTCAATAATTCATATATAACAAATTTTACAATACAACATCTTCACTGACTCTCTTATTTCACGAAAATAAATTTTTATTTTTGCACCGCATTCTTGCAAAATTTATATTCACATAGCAGAAAAATCTTTCTCGCATTTCTCCCCCAATTTTCTCTCGATAAAATTTTATTGTGTAAATATTTTTCGCACAATAAAAAAATTCGATAACAGCACGCTATTTCTACAATCCTCTTTATTGTCTTTTATTTTGAATTGCTATGCATAAGCTTTCATTCGCCCCCCTCCCTCCCCCCCCCTCGCAGTAACACATCTGAAAAATTATTTTATCATAAGAGTTAACTGTACCGCAAACGATTATGTAAAAAACGAGTATATTATTTTAAAGTAAATTCTCAGCTTTTGTGCGTTTTACACATTTGCGTTTTATTACATGAATTTCCATTTGTGTTCTATAA